GAAGGAAGGAAGGAAGGAAGGAAGGAAGGAAGGAAGGAAGGAAGGAAGGAAGGAAGTTCCAAAAGCTGGGGCTCTGTTTTCAGTTCAGCCCTGCTGTTTCTTTACTCTAAAATTACACACCTGATATCTGATCAAGGCTGATACTTGTTAGGTCAATTTAGTTGGTAATTATTGTAACATGCACTTTCTGGATGCTTGTGCTTCACTTCAGTACACTGTAAGTTGTCTTCTGCTGCCTTCCTGTATACTTTTCTGAAGCATCATATTCTCTGTTGCTTTTGCATCCCAACTAATGGAATTGGCTGTGCACTGAGCATTTTGCAAATATTAATGTTTCCTCTTTCATGAACTATATAGCATATTGAAAAAAAAATCATAACAACCCTAAGTATGTTCACTTAGAAGTAAACTCAGCTGAGGTAATTGTGATTTATTTCTAAGAAAGATTACTTCAGACTATGACAAAAAATATAATTTGAATGACGCAAGAAAAAACTCCCAGAATTTTTAATAATAATCTATTGTTGGGAAATGGTCAGGTTGCTTCTCCTAGAGGAAGCTGTTTAATTTTTCTTCTTAAATTGTCTTCTTAGGCTCTTGAGTGGATCCATGACAATGGAGAGTTTTATTTATCCACACACACTTCCACTGGCTCTAGTATCCAGCATACTCAAGAGCTCTTAAAGGAACATGAAGAATTCCAGATAACTGCAAAGGTAAATGAAATATATATTTAGGTTTTCTGTCACCACATCGCCATGTCTTGAGAAAGATACCAATTTGGCTCCCATGTGGAAAAAAAGGATTAAATTCCTCTCCGATGCCATTTTGCAAATCTTACTATTAATTTAAATAAATCTAATTTGTTGCATTTGGGATCTATTATATTTATAAAATATTATAGGAGATTAGGATTTATAATTTGTACAGATTCTATAAAATACTTTGGTTTACCCTCTTCCGAAGTTTGTCACAGTACATTGAATTGAATATTTATAAATGTATAGATGTAATTTCAACAGACAATTTGATGGTCAAAACTCCCTTGATGGTCTTTGGGTAATATTAATGATATTAAAATGAATATTACATTGAAATTAATATGTATTTGAGAGGTGTTTTGCTGTTAATTCCCATTAGATCTCTTATAGAGACAGGTTAATCAAAATGTTTTATGAAGGCTAAAGTTCATAGAGTATCTTTGGCCAAATTGTAGTTACCTTATGAGGATGATGATTTTAACCTACCAGATATTCAACTATACCATTGAATCTTTATCCTTACATCAGTATGGAATGGGTCTTATTATGGTTTCCTCTCTGGGCCCTTTGGAGGAAAGCAGGTGTGTAACATCTTTGAAACCTTGGCAGATGTTATGACATCTTAAATCAGGATATTTTTTTCCTGCTTTGAAAGCTGCTAGGCATATTTGGTTATTGAAAGATAAGTGGTTGTGATTTGATTCCAAATCACATGAGAAGTTGATGCTGTGGTATAACTCAAATCTGAAAATAGTTGGTAAGGTATGTTACTAAAATTGGGCATTGTATGATTTATGGCCCAAAGGCCATAATAAAATGTATTGTTATCAAATATGAAATATACTTATGATTTTATGATTTAAAAATGAAAATAATTCAGTCAGAAAATATTACTTTTAGTTTATAAACCTCAAATATGTTTTAAATGGGGTGGACATTTGATTTCTTATGCTGGTGATGTAAGAAATTTGAAGGTTCTTTAATCCACAAGATTTGATCTTGTTCTGTTATATAGCTTTATTTGGGTTTCAAATTAATATGTATGTTAACATAATTTGGGGAAGAAATATTAGATTTAAGATTATAATTCGATGCTGAATTATATTTAGGAATTATATTCCTAAAAGATGGGATTTGTGATCTTATGAAGAGCTTTGGCTTTATCAGGCTTGGGGTATCTTACATAACTGGAAAGAGTGTAGGAAATGAGTTTGCTATCTATTTTTTAAAAGTCTTTGTGCTCTGAAAATGAGAAGATGACACATGTTGCTATATGATCCAGGTTTGATGATAAGTTCAATGTCTGAATTAATTCCATATAGATCTTTATACTTATATGGATATTTTCTTTTCTGTTTGGGGGTTTTTGGGGGGGAGTTATGTTTAGTTCATTTAACCACTATAATTTATTTAGGGTTTTTTTTTTCCATTGTATTTTCACTATTCAGTATAGACTATTTTCTTTTGTATTGTACTATTTTAGCAATTAGAAATAGTCAGATAGATGTTGGCCTGTTTGGATCATAGTTTCTAATAAAAGAGAAGTTAGCATAGCTGATTATAATCTTGGGGCCTTGAAAATATAAATATTTGTTTACCTCATGCATCCTGCATACCTAAAAGGAATAAAATGCCTGCTGCATAAAGATTCCTTTTGTTGTGGCTAAAATAAATACATGTTTTGTTTTAAAGCCATGACATCACAAAACAAATTAGGTAATATATTTCATTACTGAATAACAGTACTGAAATAATTTCAGTAAAGTATCAGAAAAGTGCCTGAGGAAATCTGTAATCCAAGTGGAAATCATCTCCTTTTTTTCTACCGCTTTGAGTAGCTACCAGTAGAATCTTATATATCACAATTTGCTTTTCATTCTTTAGTATTGAATTACTGTATATACGAAAGAGGAAAATAGATTACTATACACTTGATGATTTGGAAAAAGTATGTTAGTGAAGAGGCTTGAATTATGGAAAGTTTTGTGTAAATTTAGCATTGATAGTTGGCTGCTCAGTGGCAGGAAGAATGATATATGAAGGAAGTAAAGCACAAGTGAGCATTAAAAAAATGCTCAGCCAGTACATAACACTGAGGAAGAAAAAGTCAAACATGTGTGATGCCCCCTTGGTTGTTTAACGTATTTATGAATAAATGTGTAAGGAAAGTTTGGTGTGACATTAGATGTGGGTTGGTTGGAATGCATATGTACTTTCACATGTAAATGATGAATATGATGGCCTGGATGATTTGCAGCAAATTTTAAATAGACTTTATGATGCAACAAGGTTAATGGATCTGAAAATTGATCTATCAGACACCAGGGTAGTTGTGTTTGACAGAGAAAATAAATGGACAAATTTTAAGACTTACAATTGCTGGTAGAAAGATGATGGATAGTATTTAGCATGTTGTAAAGAATGAATATTTGTTTTAAAAAACTACTATAAGAGCATGCTTCTGCTCTTATACAGAATTGAACCTTGGATATGGCAAGAAAAACGTAAAAGCAATGTGAATGCAATGGAGATGAAGTACTTAAGAAGTGTGTGTGCTAAAATAAGAGATAGGGTCAAGAATGTATGGGTGCTGATTGGATATGGATTAAATGTCCACATTAAATAAACAAGTGGCATGAGAGAAATAATTGAGATGATTTATGAAGGGAGGAGTGAATGGGTCTAGAGGAAAGGGAAGAGTGAGAATTAATTGGAGTTGATGAGATCTTGAAAAAGAGAGAAAAGTTTGAAGAACAAAAGACAGTATTGTTGTTGTTGAAATCTGTATGCCATTTGACTCCCAATGACTCTTGGAGGCTCACAACAATCAAATAAAGAAATTACAATAAAATCAATAAAAGATAAAGGATAAAGGATGGCAAATGTGATGAAAAGGGGGATCCCACTCTCCTTCACCAAAGGCCTGGGTGAAGAGCCAGGTCTTCACTGCTCTTTTAAACAACAACAGAGTGGGAGCCACTCAGATCTCAGGAGAAACCTTGTTCCAGAGGGCAGGCACTGCTACAGAGAAGGTGCACTTCTGGGGTCCTGAAAGATGACATAGTTTAATCGAAGGAACCCAAAGCGTGCTGGCATGGTGTAAGCAGGAATGGTTGTAAAGACAGAAAAGTATGGAGATGCATAGAGAACGTTAGTGTTGTAAAACTACTGTTAGCTATGTTTTCTTTTTTATCTTCATTTCTTCTGTTTATTTATTATTTTTTTTTTTTACTGTTTTTCTGCATCTGCAGAACTACTTACCCCAAAAGAGAATAGCCTGATAGGTACATAGATATGTAAAAATATTTGGTTCACTCACCGCAGAATGTGGAGTATTTAATGCAGAGATGACTTCTCCTGGTAATTCTTCCTGGAGTTCTTTAATCACATAAGCATTCCTGGAAACACTGCAGTACAAGCAGTCTCTGAACAAAGAGTCCCATGCTTAGTCTGAGTGCTCAGGGCATTTTCAGAATAAAAAGAAATAAATGTGCAAGACCCCTGCCCCCTTGTAAGTAAATCAGATTTCTTTCAGAAGATAATGCTAATCAGATTTCATTTCTGCTAGCCCTCACCTTACCATCAACCCTTTGGGAGTGATGCATCCCAACAGAATATGTGATACAATCTTTTTACATCCACACTGTAGGGGAAAATAAGATTGTTACCTGTTACATTACTCTTTGAACACCACACACTTATTATCAAACTCTCTGCTACTGTAAAGACTGAAACTTGAGTTCTTTAGCAATAACCTGTGGCATTATAAATTGAGTTTTCAGCATGATGAGGTATATTTCCCCAAACCTCTGCCTTCTGGATGCTCAGATAATCCCCAGACACAGTAGTGGTGCCAGTGATGCATGAAGCTATCCTAAATCCATTCAGCTCTTCTGGTCCTTACTTTGCAGAACCCTGAAAGCCAGAAACGTAAAAAATGTAATAATCGTCCTGATATTTTGTTCAAGTGCTGTACTAAAAAGCTGTTAGCATGGAAACAGAATATTATCTTCTATTTATAGCGTGAAAGGGCTGTTATTCATTAGAGGCATTGAATGTCCGCTCTTCTTACTGCCTTCCCATCTTCCATGTGTCCTATAGCAAACCAAAGAGAGGGTGAAGTTGTTGATACAGCTCGCCGATGGCTTTTGTGAAAAGGGGCATGCCCATGCAGCAGAGATTAAAAAATGTGTCACAGCAGTGGACAAGAGATACAGAGACTTCTCTCTGCGTATGGAAAAATACAGGACCTCTTTAGAGAAAGCTCTAGGGATTTCTTCAGATTCCAATAAATCGGTGAGTATTGCATTTTCTGTTTATAGAACTGTGGAATGGCTTAATCTGGCTGCTAGAGCTGCTAGCTAGATAGCCCCTTTTTTTGGTCTGTTTCTCCTTGTCTACACTAATTTTGTGGTCATCTTCCCTTCCTTAATTCAGAGTAAAAGCTTGCAACTGGATATAATCCCAGCCAGTGTTCCTGGGTCAGAGGTGAAACTGCGAGATGCTGCTCATGAACTTAATGAAGAAAAGAGGAAGTCTGCCCGCAGGAAAGAGTAAATCATTTGTTTCCTCCCAGGATAATGTTTAGCCATGCTTTGGGCTTGTGTGTAATTTTTATTTAGTCAGTTATGTATTTGTGCATTCATATCCCCAGCCAACATAGCATTAATATCTCACTAAACATTCTTTTTACACCTATGTATAAATACATTAAAAAATCAAGGGAAAAATAACACATCCTACTCTTGCTCCACGGCAAAGTCTACAATATTTCATGTTTTTCCTTTTCCTCCACCACTACCACCACACTTTTTTCCATTTCCATTTTTCCATTTCCACTTCTCAGTCTTATATGTTAAAAAGAAAATGAGAATCTGGATTTTAAGTTGTGCATTGTTATTTGATAATTCTGAGGCAAGCCATTTTAAAATAGTCTGATTTCTTGAATGTCCAAAACAGAATCTAGAATATTTTTTTCTAAGAATCAGCAGCAAATAAGTATAAGCAAATGCACCCCTTTTTTAACGACAATCTATAATTTTTTATTCAGTATTTTTATTGTTTTGTTAGTCATTATTTAAAGCAAAGATGAAATTAGACGGCAGAGTACTTCCAAAATGAGAATTAATAATTCCTTATGTAAAACCAATATTAAATCGTTTTATTACCATTTTTACTGACCTTAGTAGTACACATTTTTTCTAGTTGCTGTTCTCATGCACTGTACGCTATTGAGCTCATCCAAAATATTTTACTAAGTAAAATCCTTGCCATATATCTAGTTTCTGTTTAGAATGATGCATAATGAAACTCTAATAATCTAAAGTTGTTTCTCTCTTGTGTTTGGAAAGGTTCATTATGGCTGAGCTTATCCAGACAGAGAAGGCTTATGTAAGAGATCTTCGGGAATGTATGGATGTAAGTTCTGGTTTCCAAGCTAAATGTGGATTCTCACGTAGATTTTTTTTTTTTTTGGCTATCAAATTGTATGATCTATAATCAGAGCTAAGTTGTGCCATATTATATCAGAAACAGGCGTATTGGTCAATAAAATCAAGAATTGCCAGGGCTGACTTGATCAGCTTCTTGTTTTGCTCTTTAAACATTCCTATGTTGATTGAACAGGGACAATGGCATATCTGTTCATTTTCAGGCACAATGAACTGGTTGCTGCTTTTGTTAAGCTTTTACTGTTTTGTTGAAGGGATAATGTTGTATTATTGCTTCCACTATTGCATTGCACATTCGAGAACTGGCTTATTCTCTTTGAACAGAAATTCCTATCTTCTGTATTTCAGGGTCTGATTTTAAATTGTTACTTTTTCATTGACATGTTGCACTTGTTGTTAGGGTCTCATGATTATAAAACCAAAAAGTTATGATAAACAAATCTAAAATAGACATTTTATAAAGACTGGTATGCTTTTGCATATATTAGTTTGGGGACGGTTATACCTAGATAATTGTTAAACCAACTCTTAGCTTCCCTTCTTTTTTTTGTTTTTGTTTTTTTGTTTTGTTTTTTGCCCAGACATATCTGTGGGAAATGACAAGTGGTGTTGAAGAGATCCCACCTGGTATTGTCAACAAAGAGCACATCATTTTTGGAAACATGCAGGAGATCTATGAATTTCACAACAAGTGAGTGAAGAGAGTCATCCATGACCCTGCTGTTAGGGGGGGGGGGAAACTGATTTAATTTAATGTCTTCTGACATATTAAATGAATATATCATTTTATTTTGCTACTGCAGATTGTAGGTTCAATGGGTGGAGCTTGACAATTTTCAGATTAGCATTGTTTCATTCTAGCTTTCTGTTTAAGCAGTTCTTAAAATGGACTTGCTTTATTCTGGCCTGTAAATTTCATGTAAATAGGTTGATCTAGGTTTTTCAGCCTCCCAGACAATGAGTTGTTTTGCTTATGCTGCGTAATACATAAACTAATGAATAGAACACATCAGCTTTTATCTGTGAGATGACTGATGATGCTAGATAGCATCTGAGAAATAGCGCTAAAGGTTAAAATAAGTGTTCAGGCTTACTACATCACTTAGTCTGAATTTAGGATTTATTTGAAGCTTTATACTTACTGGATGTACGTAAAAATTATTCTTGTGCCTTAGTTTTTATTGTTGTAAATTATAATAAAATTACTACAAAAATAATAATAAATTTGCTAAAAACTAATTGTAATAACTTCAACTAATAGTAGAGGTGGATTTTATGAAGCTTGGACATGTCAGAGTAAGCATTCTCTTCCTATAATTGTTTTTTTGCCTGTATACAGTCAGTGTTCGCTCATTTAAGTTGCAATGAAGTCAGTAAATAAGTGCTAATTTTCCTATTAGATATTTCAACAAGTATATGTTTTGTTTAATGCGTAGGGGACTATGAGCCAGTTCTAACTCATCATAGCTAAAAGGCACCATATTTTGTAAGTCTGGCATGATTGCAACATACCATAATCTGATATAGCGTAGCTGTAGCTATAGCTAGAACATTGTTTTACTGGAACTATAAAGTGTAGTTTGGCTCTAAGACTAGATTGAATGGATAATTTTGAAAAAATACGTTATGGCCACTATGGACAATGTAATTACTTTTGATTTCGTATAAAATGGCAGAGGAACATGTTAATGGTTTTATTCAATCATTTTTAAAACAGTATATTCCTGAAAGAGCTGGAGAAATATGAGCAGTTACCTGAAGATGTTGGTCATTGCTTTGTTACTTGGGTAAGATATTACCTTTCTCTTTAATTAGATAATCAATTGTATTTTGAGTTGTGATCATTCTCACCTGAAAAATAAAATTATGGTTGAATAGCATAGATTTATAGTGTGAGATAGTGAATACAAAAGGCTCTTCAGCTCAGAAGAGAGTCTTCCACCCTATAGAAAAGTATCTTTGAGTTATGGGATGTGAATAGGCATCCTGTGTCAGTTTCATATAATACTAAGCAGCTGTACTTCAAGCTGTGGAAAGTAATATTAGCATGAACTTAAAACGCCTCATGACTAAGCTTTAAAATTTATTGTTGGAGAAGATGTTTAATGTTTAATAGGCAAGCTATTTCTTAGACATCTCTTGTGATTAAGGGCACATCTGTACACATGTGTCTTGGGAGACCTGATGAGTCAGGTTACAGCCTGACAAATGTATTCCATTTCTTTCCTTTTGTAATGGTTTTATCCTTCTTCTTGCATGCCAATTTCTTTATCTAGCAGATTAAACTCAAATAATTCTGAACCAGGCAAGTTTCCACCAGATGGAGCTTTTTACAAATCATTTCAATCTTTTTTCCTTTGCAGGCAGACAAGTTCCAAATGTATGTGACTTACTGCAAAAACAAACCAGACTCAACTCAGCTAATTTTAGAGCACGCAGGTGCATATTTTGATGTAAGTACAGGATCGTAGTGCTTCACTTATACCTCTTGACTTTTGAAAGTAGATTCATGGACATAGTATACACATTTGGATATAGATGAAAGTAGCACCATTGAAAGCTATGAGAACTCTCTTATATTATAAAAATTATATTTTTGTAAGCCATAACAGCATCCACTGCCAGAATGTGTCTACCATGCATGTTTCATAGAGTGTTTAAATTCTTAATTCTTAAGAATATAACCAGTATTCCCATTATCATTTTTACTGGGCTATAGTACATATATCACAAGGAAATAGTTGTTGACAACATTTTAACAGTTAGACTTTGAAAGTCCTTATTTAAAGTGGTATACATTAATGCTTAAGTTTGAAGTTAGATTTCAGGTAAGAAAGATTAATCATATTATTAGCCTTTAAATTTGTTTTGCATGTAGTGTAATTGAGGCTGTAGTTGTAATGTTCTCATCAAACAATATTTAAAGTTTTTTTATAAATTTTATGAAGTAATGTATGCTTTTATTTATTTGGTATATGCAGACATATTGTGCTATACGATCCAAAAAGCTAAGGCATAAGAACAGTTATAAGAAAACCATCTATCATTAAAATATAACTACCATGCTAAAAGCAAGATCAAATCAGGAACAAAACTAACAAGTTAGGCTAAAAAGAATGAAAACCTTATTTAAAGAGAAATATATTCAATAATCAACAAAACACAGAATTCCAAGCCAAATATGATATCGGCATTCTAGAGGGATCAGTTTGGAGGTTTATTTTCCATTGCTCTATGTACTCCACATTGGATAAGATTTCGTAATGGATTTAGAAACATCTGTGTCCCCCACTTAACTGCAGCTGGGGTTGGTAAATAGGAATGTTTTTATTTGTCAAATTTATATCCCACCTTCCCTTCAGGAATTTGACAGCATACACGATGCTCCCTTTTGTACACACAACCTTGTAAGGTAGATTAGGCTGAAAAAGAGTGACTGGGAAGTTCTGGGTTCAAATCCACCCTCAGCCATGGAAGTCACCCAGTGAACTTCCATGGCTGAGGGTGGATTTGAACCCAGAACTTCCCAGTGCTGATCCAAAGCTTTTAACTACTACACCATGCTGGCTCTGAATGTTTGACAGAAACCCTATTCAAAGAATAGCCCTCTGATCTTTTCATCATAGTGAACAGAGCTTGATCTTGGCTGGATTCCATTTCATTCTAATTCTTAAACTCTCACTCTGGCAAAACTTGAAGATTATATCATTTGTGACATCATGATGACATCAGAATGACATGATTTTATTCCAATTACCTCAAGTCAGTTTGACTGTCCAGTGTATTTGTGTATATTCTTCATCTGAATCTTCATAGACATAGGTTTATATTCATATGCCCCAGGAAGAATTTAGTTCAGCTTGAAAGCCTGCTTCCAGTTCTTTTTTTTTTTTTTAAAGAAGGAAAGATACAGTGGAAAGTGTAAGGTAAGACTGCCAGCTGTCAGTTACTGACACTGAATGAAACCAGTGACGTAATGCACTGAGTTTTGTAAATCTTCAGATAGTAATTTCGAGGGCGGGGGAGTTACCTGTGGCTCTCTCTACTGGATTTGAATGGCCTGTTTAAGAAATAAATTATCTTTAAATCAATAAACAGTTCTTATATTGGCATACCACTTTCTTAGTCCAGCACTAAGCCACCCAATTTCATACCTATTAAACACACACACAAAACCCCACTGAATAAAACATTTCTACTTGCAAAATCCTAAGATGCTTCAGCTATTTATGGAATTCAGAATGGAGCCAGAACAGCAACCGAAATATTTTTTGATATGTCAAAATGTTCACAAATAGAAAAAGAATGTATTTGCTCATTCTCAGCAAGGTGGTCTTGCTTCACTTTGCAAGTAGAACTCAAAGTATCTATCTATCTATCTATCTATCTATCTATCTATCTATCTATCTATCTATCTATCTATCTATCTAT